GAGAGAGAGAGAGAGAGAGAGAGAGGGGAGAAGCAGAGCCCCATGTCAAAGACCCTGACGAATGCGTCATTGCGTAGACGAATAGGCTTTCCGTTCCGCACGCACCGCGCGACGAACAGCAAATTGCGCGACGAGGAAGATTAACTCGACTGATTAATTGATTATTTTAATGACAGTCAAAGAGCACCGAAGACGCTCGCTAATTGCGCCGCGTTGCGCCGCACCCCCCGAGCGGAGACAATGAACGCTGCGTTGGCGGGATATTCGTGCCCGACCCTGTTTTCTCATACAGCTTTCATGGCGCGGTTACAGTCGAGTCTGTTTTTCGATGCAGTTGTAACTGCGCCGTTGGTTGAACGGAGCAATGGTATAAATCATATTCTCCTCGTTTTCAGGAATAAAACGGTTTACGAAAGCACTTGCTAGAAAATACGGCTACTTTATCGTAATACGTTTTTCTGCACTTTAAAAAAAAAGCTTGAAAATTTTACGTTATGCAGAGATAATCGCGTATTATGCTATGAAATATGCATATGGCTGACCAATTACTTGCTCGCATCACTATTTCGCAAAACTACTCGATTATTCCGCGAATTGACTTTTCCATCCAAAAATATATGAAATAACAATTTCGAAATAGCGCAACGTAAGGAGATTATTGTAAATGATCACAATAATAATAATTCACAATCACGAAAAGAATTTTATGTTAGCAGAAGTTTTACCGGGTTAAGAATCTATTTTTTGTCACTCGCACGAATAAATGATAATAAATACAATTTTGTTTTGTTGTAATTGTGATACTGCAAAGTGGACATATGTATCGCAATTTTAAAACTCGTTAGATAAAAATATATAAAAAAATAAGCGATATAAAATGAGAACGTGCTATTTAGCCGTCTAGCCAGACTATATAGGTATGCACTAGACTTTTTCATACGTATTAATAAAACCACGTAAAATTAAAAAAAAAACATCATGTCGATTCAAATTTGATCAGCGCATTTTCGAGAATAGAAAATAAAATAATGTGTAATCGC